AGTCCAATGTGAAATCTATATGAAGACTAAATTCTACTTGAAATAAGTCTTTTTCATTATCTGAAATGAAAGTATTTATCATTCATTGATCTCACATGATTATCTATAGTTTTTCATCACTGTCCATCTTATGGTAGTTATCTCTGCATTGCACTATATTTAGTTCCTCTACAAATCTGTAATTATGTTTAAGGCAAAATTTGAATTACATATTTGTATACTTGCTGAAAAGTAATTATCTTGAGCCATCACCTATCAGGAAACAAGGCCATAAAATAGTGCCAAGACTGAGAAGATTTAGGGTAAACCTAGCAGTACAAGGGCACTGGAAAAAGAGTCTGTAACTACAAATGGTTACCCTTCAATACAGCAGAATCAAACTCATACAATAGAAAAAAAAAATGACCATATCTATAGTAAATACTTAAGGATTCTTCTCTAGGTGATAGCTTTAGAATATTTTCTGTAAAAATAAAGCAAAAGAATGTTCATAGTTTGCTTGAGAGAAGTTTCTTGAATTGCAATAACAAGTGCTTTGGATGTAACATTCATATTTAAACATTTGAACATTCAGATTTAACATTCAATATCATCAATTTAGACATAAAATAAATTCATACCACTACTTGCTATGCCATTAGTTCTTGAAATACAGAGGTTTGACTTTTGTCAGTAAAGTCAGTTTCTGGAACTTTATAATAAAAGCCATAACAGATTTTGGAGAACCATCCTGATAAAACCCCCCTGAGAGGGGGGGGGGATAGATTGCCTAAAAGACTAAACTTAGTAATTTTCCAGTGGTAACATTTCCTGTTCAGTATAAATTCTCTCCTTTATACCCCAGAAGAATGGTTGTGATTTCCCTCACCCCAGAACTCAAGAGAAAACAGAGACAGAACAGAGGAACAGAGAGAGAAAGGAATACTCTATGCCTGTGTTTATGATACCAAAATAATTAAAAGGGTATTTAATATTGAGCAAGTTGACAAGGATCTTGAACTTCTTCTAGTCCTTACAATCTGGGTAAGACAACATTAATCAGAAAACTACAAAGAAGAATAAAATTTTGATGAAATGCTGTTATTTGGGGTCATGTGATCATATAAATAGGAGAAAAAAAAATAAGGTCTAGCTTATCAGGAAAAGTTTCCCTCAGGAAGTATCTATTGAGATGGGATAATAGAAGAAGTGAACAGCAAGTAGAAAGAAACAAGTGCAAAGACACTGGTGGAAAGTCATATGCTGGGGAGATGGGCCGAAAGGCTTGGTGGCTAAACTGCAGGAAGGGAAGGGGGCAGGATATGGAATGACCTGTGGGCATTGAGAGAAGTGCTAAATCACACTGAGTACTGGAAGCCAGGAGAAAGAATTTGTCTTTCTTTTGCCTTTTATTATTTTTTTCCCTAGGAGAAATGTTTCTTAGAGACAATTTGACACCTCAATTTGTATTCTCCAAAGCTCTCTGTCTATCTAAGCAAGGGCAGAGGGAATAGGCTCCTTACTGAATATGAGTAGATAATTTAAAAGGCTTCTAGAGTAGTCTAGGAGAAAAATTCCAGCAGCTGGAACCAGGGAACTGATTGTGAAACTGGAAAAAAAAAGGGGGGCGGGATGAAATAAAGAGATCAAGAATTTATTTTGTTCTGCTTTGTTTCTGGTAGGTAAATCTTTCCAGATTTGGTGATGGATTAAATTTGTGAAATGAAGGAGACAGAAGGTGACAAGATGATTCTACTTTTTCTGAAATACTGTGATGTCATTTACTGAGCTCATGAACATAAAAAGCATATATTTGTAGAGATAACTGAGAGAGTAATTTGTGATAAATTAAATTTAAAGCATGGGTAATTAGGTACATCAATTTGGTATTGACTGGCAAGTTTGTACTGAATACATCATTTTGTAGTGTCATTTTAAAAATTTGCTTTGAGAATTTGTAAACTTTTTTTTTCTTTTTAGTCAATCCTTTATTATTCAACACGTTTTTACTTTGCTCTACATTTTAGTATTATTGAAACTAATTGATACCCAATTAATGTAACCAGATAAGCATTCACAGCATGCTGATTCTGTCTTATCAACGACCCTGATTTTCTGTTCTGTTGTGGCTCATGTATTCTGGAAGGATTTCAAGTATTTAATAGATATTAAACAAGAAAAAAAATGTATCTAGTTAAATAGATTAAATACACAAATTAAAGTCCTTCATAAAGTTGGTATAAAAATAAAATAAAGTAGTATTTATTTATCAGAGTTATAGGCATTATCAAATGATAATATGCTGACTAGTCATGTTATTAGTTAGACCATTGTCAGTATCAGTGGTGAGATTTATAAGTCATAAAGGGAAGTTTGTTTCAGAAAAAAAAATTAATGTCATTAAGGGTATATTGATATTTAGAAGGCATGTTAGCTATGCAGAGTTCTTATAAATGCTGCTTGTGTGTATACTTAATTTCTTTCACATACATTTGTGCTTATGCATGTACTTACACAACTGATACACACAGGCGCATTTATGCACAGACATCACTTATTGGGTTTTATTTAATTTTTTTTTAATTTACCAGTGCTTTTGTCAAATGAAAAAGTGAGAATATCAGAAACAAACAAAAATATGTTTTTCTAGCCAAGACTAATTGAAAATACCACAGTGAGAAAAATCACCATAATACCAACCACCACTACCACTTCAGCTGTCCTGACTTAATCACAGATGGATAGTCTACTGCCATATTATTTTACTACTATATCTGCGTTCACTATTTCACTCTAAGAAAGTTCCTAGTTTTCCATTTATTTTGAAAGCAATTTTAATGGATGTGCTATGAATCTTCAATGAGCTATGTGAAATTTGAGGAATGTAATTAGGGATGTATTTACATTCTCTTCTTTTAGGGTGATTAATTCTGTGTAAGACTTTCAGCCTAATGTTACTCTAAAAAAAATAGAGAAAATGAAGTTCTACTTCCACAGACTAATAGACTTGTAAGTTTTAAATAATAATAATAATAATTTAATCAAGCATTAACTTGGGAGAATTGTTTCAATGTATGAATTATTTGTTTAGCTTTCTATTGCAAGGTTAATTCAGTAAATCCTTTGGCCTTATTGTAGCTGTTAGAAAATGAAAATATGTTTGAATTCTCTTTTTTTATGACTTACTATAAGAAAACTATGTCAGTAAATATATTTTTGTCACCAACTTTCCTAAAATCAGATGCTTTTATTTAGAAATTATAGTCTTAACACTGGAAAATTATATATAAACTAATTAATTAATAAAAAGATCCAAATCTAGAATATCTTCCTCATGTTGCTTCATTTAATAAAAAGTTCAAGGAGTAGGACATCGAAAGCAAATCTTAAGATAAATGAATAAATCATGTACAAAAGGTAGACCAGCTAATAAAATACGTACACGAAAAAGCTACACTAAAAATAATGATTTGTAATTTGTCTTCTGCATTTTTAGACTTGTCAATTTATGCTACAGTTACAGTTATAAAATATTAACCTCAACCTAACCTAGATAAACCGTTTTTACATCTTAAAAGTAGTAGTCCTCCCACATGACTTTGAACACACCAGCAACAATATACTGACTGCCTGTTTTAACCTTACGTAATTAGAAGCATTATGATTCAGAAATAAATTCTAACAGCCATCTTTGTTACTTTAATGACATACATTTATTTTGAAGGCATACTTGCATCCTATACATTGCAAAATATAACTAAAGTTATTAAATATCTCCTCCTTACATCTTTCAAGAAAAATTCAGTTGCTAAATATTCAATCTCTGATAGATAATCAAAGTTATATTAAACATTTGCACTCTATAAAAACACATCCATAATCACTTACTATAGGGTGACACTGTGATACAAATATATTCCCAAGAACAATAAGAAATGCTTATATCAAATATTTTGAAAAATTTGGGGGAAATCCCAAATTCAAACCAGGTAAACCAGAAAAATGACAAACAATAGGTTCTAAGTATAGACTGGGAAATATTGAGACATTGTCTTTATTATCCTATAAACAATCTTAGAATTAGTACATTTGCATTATATAGAACTTAGGAAATTCAAAGATGAATCTACAGCTGGGAATGTGTATTGCAGTTATATGCAGTTTATTATGCATTTTGCAGACTCTTCAAATCTGATTTTAATCCATTTTCCTACAAGTGATCTTCATTTTCTTTAGATTTTCAATATGCATATTTATAAACTGCCATAAACTGAATGAAACAAAGACCATGTCATTCAATAAACCAATCAGATAGGGAACATGTTTTTACTAGCACCAAACCATTACTCTCTGTTTAGCACTAGGCATCAAAGTCATTGAAAAAGAATTCAATTTTTAAAAATCAAAAGACCAGGAATTTCATCCCACTTTTGTAACTCACTAGCCAAATAACTTTGTCAATAAGTAAATGGATTCAGAGTGATTGAGTGTTGTATCAAAAATTATCTTAATTTCTCCCTTGTCTATGCCTCCAGGTTGCACATCTAAATTATAATGCATGTGAAATACAATTCTGAAAAAAAAGCAGAAAATTCTAGAAGAATATAGGTAATTGACATAAAAAGTGATAGTTTTTTGTTGTTGTTGTTTTTACCTCCGGAAAGTAGTACTTCCAGGAGGAGGGTGGAAGAGAAGTTAAGAGGAGGAAGAGGAAGAAGAGGGGGAGAAGAGAAGAGGAGGAAGAAAATATATTGAAATATAACGTGGTTGTTAACTCATGATCAATTTCAAACTGTATCAGGACTATCACAAAACAGAATTCAAATAGGAGGGAGCTGGGGAGGAGGAGAAGATATATATAGATATAGATATAGATATAGATATAGATAGATCTATCTATCTATCTATATATATATATATATATATATAGATCTATATATCTTAGTTTGCAGGATTTCTAGCTATCCCACTGGGGTTTTTCTACCTCCTGGCAAAGATCAAACTGAAGGCAATGAACTTACTTCTGGAGCCTGAAGAGTTCCTCACTGCTGTGAAGGAGTCAGCACTCTGCTTGGCTGCTGCAGAAGACAGACAGGGTGAAAGCATCTCCAAGGCTGATTCTGAGGTGGTGTCAGAGGGAAGGGTAGCCGGCTACTCCGGATCTTCTCAACACCTGGCTGAATGGTTACGGGTATTCTTCAGAGGAGGCAAGCACAAAAAAATCGTGTCAAAAAATTCTTATGAAACATCTTAAAATATAACGTGGTTGTTAACTCATGATCAATCTCAAACTGTATCAGGACTATCACTAAACAGAATTCAAATAGGTTTGGATAAAAAGGCTTCCTGGTAGAAGGTGCAATGTGCTCTGGTTTCAATAAACATGTCAATATTTTGCTTTTCATCTTCAGAAGAAATAGTCTTATCTTAAAATTGAAGGTGATTTAAATAATCACAAGCTACACAATTTAATTTTCTCAATATTTAAGTCCATTCACCATGCAGTCTAAAGTTAAAACATAAATCAACACGTATTTAATCATCACCCACTATTTGTCACCCACTACTTGACTGAGGACATACAACAGTCAGATTGACAGAGTCCTGCCCTTATAGAGCTAATAATCTTAGATTGTGTTGCCTTTATTTTATTCAATACAGAAAATCATTCTGTGACTCACATGTTTTTATGGAGAAAATACACAAACATGAATGTCAAATTCACTAAATTTAAAGCTAAATTTTGTACTTGAACTTCATGTTTGAAGTTACAAATTGCTACTGCTTTCTGAAGTTCCATGTCAATCTGAATAATAATTGACCTGGCTCTATAGGATGCAATGTTTAACTTTCTTTATGCTAAAATCTCTATGAAGTATCAACTGATATTCAAACCCTGATTTTTTTTGGGGGGGGGGGCGGGGGGTTGATTGGGATTGAACCTAGGGCCTTGTGCATGTCAGGCAGGCACTCTTCCAACTAAGTTATATCCTTAGCCCCTCAAACCCTGATATTTTTAATGCAGAAATAGTCTAATTTTTTAAAAAATTCTAAAACTTAATAAAAACCTTTTAATTTTACTTAGGTTGTGATATTTTACTGCAGAAGTGAAAATGAGGAATAATATATTTCCAAAGAATAATAATAAAAATACATAAAAGATGATAAATCAACAACTTCAGTCTAGGTTATTGTTTCTATTGCTTCCATCTATAAAGATATATGAATAATCCAATAAATCTAAATTTAAGAGGATAATTCAATTAGCTTATGATACACAATTATTAGGATTTTCTTTAGAGGGGAAAGCTAAAACTTTTGCCGAATTTAATACTGAAATTCTCATAAATGTTAAAAACTAAAGCAGAGATTAATGATATGGCTGAGAAATAGTAAATTATAGTTTATGTATTTCAATTATTTCTGTGGACATGTCAAGAATTTTTATCTATTTTGAAAATTTGTATTTACTATATAAGAAAGATTTTATTATAGAATGGTAGGTATCAAAGACATGTCACATATAGACAGGCAAATTCAACTCTATCACATGACAGTCAACTTGATGTGGATATTATTCTCCTTTTCATTTGCTTTCTTCCATAAATATTATAACTAAGTTTGATATTCATATATCCATGCAAAAATACAAGAACACCAAAAGCAAGTCTCCCTCCAAAGTAAGATATCTCTCTCATACAGAACCAATTTCACATGTCAGAATATTCTTTTGGAAGTATTTCACATGTATCAGTATAAATATACCATAAGCATAATCAGCTCATGAAGTGCTCCAATTGAAAAAGATAAACATTTCTTGGATTTTTTTTTTATAAAAGAGATGATATAATCCATGTCCATCTGCACATATTTTGCACAAGTATATGTGAGTACATGCATAATACTTTCCTAGAAGTAAAACGTGAAGGTCAGAAATGATTATTGTTTCTGTAGCTCTTTTTGTGTTCCCTGAAGTAAAGTGATAATATAAAGAAAAAGTAAATTTAAATTTTGTAATTATGTTTCATATTATTGAATTGTGGAAGAAAATTATAAATGCTTTAAAATATCATCCTAATCCAATCAAAGTAAATATTGTTGATCAAAAGCATTCTGTCATCATTTTAGCGTGAAAAGCACTTTTCACTGGTTGTAACTCCACCTAAATTCCAATTCCTGCAAGAAAGTTCTTTTTATGTATGCTTATACCACTTAGTCATTAATTAATGAGAACAACATTTTCCTTTTTGCAATAAATTTAATAACTTGCTATGTGCCAAATACCACAGAACATGTGTAGCCTCACGTATTCCAAGATATCCCCTGAGAATCATTAGAGCTGAGGATATGGCTCAGTGGTAGAAAACCTGTATGTGAAAGGTCCTAGGTTCAATCCCCATCACAACTTAAAATTTAAAAAAAAAAACATATTTTTTTAAGCCTCCCAATAATCAAATGAGGCAAACATCAATGTACAAAAAGCAAAAACAGGGGGAAAAGGGCAAGGTCACATAGCTACTAACTGGCAAAACCTGGGCTTTCACCTATCTCAACTCCATGTAAAGCCTTATATAGTATGATGTAAGTTAAGACTTCAGAAAACCATAGTTAATTCTGATACGGTTTGGATGCATGTTCCCTAAAAATCCATGTTAAAGGCTTGGTACCCAGGGTAGTGTATTTGGAAAGTCCTGGGAGGTTTGGGAGGTGGTGGGGCTTTGTTGGGTTACTGGGGCATGCTCTGAAGGGGACTGTGGGACCCTAGCCTGTCCTCTTTCTTTCTCTGCTTCCTAATTCAAGATATGATTGCTCACTTTGATGCACATTCCTGACATTGCCATGTGGCACTCTCACCAAGAGCCCAAAATCAAGGGTGCCACCCAATCTGGGAATCTTCAGAGCTAAGTAAATCAATTATCTTTATTAAGTCGGTTGCCTCAGATATTTTGCTGTAATAATGAAAAGCTGACTAATACAAATTCTACAGTAAAGTCCATATATATTGGTAATCACAATGCCCAAGACAGATTTGTGATTATAGTACTACAATTTTCCAATGTTATTATGTAAGGATTTCCTTTTCTTCTCAATAGTATGTTGAAATTAAATGTCTCATAAGAAATTCTAATGAAATTTTAGTTCCAAGTTTTTGCTGTGTGGCCATCTTCCAGTCTTAGAAAATTTGGCAGATATTAGGCAAGAAACAGGATTCTTCTTCCAACAACTATCTTGAATGCTAAAGCTAAACTCAGAAGGAACTCAGGAAACAGGCAAAACATTGGAAGTTTTTATGGAAAATCTTTAAAAGTGAAAATCACTCTCTTGCACCCAATGGTACTTGTTTACTCTCTCTAATGTCTTTGTTAAGTGTTCATCAATTCTCTGAAAATGCAGATGGATAACAGACTCAATTATCAGCAAAGACAGGCCTTTGAAGATTTGTAGATCTGGTTTGGAATCATAGCTATTACCATATTACTCACTTTCCTCCTTTACAATAAAAAATTATGAAATGAGTTCATTGTTTCAAGATATTACCAAAAGTTCTCTATAGGTTTAATGCAATGCCAATCAAAATCCCAACAGCATTTCTTGTAGAAATAGAGAAAGCAATCATGAAATTCATATGGAAAAATAAAAGACCCAGAATAGCAAAAACAATGCTAAGCAGGAAGTGTGAATCAGGCGGTATAGCGATACCAGACTTCAAACTATACTACAGAGCAATAGTAACAAAAACAGCATGGTACTGGTACCAAAACAGGCGGGTGGACCAATGGTACAGAATAGAGGACACAGAAACCAATCCACAAAACTACAACTATCTTATATTTGATAAAGGGGCTAAAAGCATGCAATGGAGGAAGGATAGCATCTTCAACAAATGGTGCTGGGAAAACTGGAAATCCATATGCAACAAAATGAAACTGAATCCCTTTCTCTCCCCATGCACAAAAGTTAATTCAAAATGGATCAAGGAGCTTGATATCAAATCAGAGACACGCCGTCTGATAGAAGAAAAAGTTGGCTACGATCTACATACTGTGGGGTCGGGCTCCAAATTCCTCAATAGGACACCCATAGCACAAAAGTTAATAACTAGAATCAACAAATGGGACTTACTCAAACTAAAAAGTTTTTTCTCAGCAAAAGAAACAATAAGAGAGGTAAATAGGGAGCCTACACCCTGGGAACAAATCTTTACTCCTCACACTTCAGATAGAGCCCTAATATCCAGAGTATACAAAGAACTCAAAAAATTAGACAATAAGAAAACAAACGACCCAATCAACAAATGGGCCAAGGACCTGAACAGACACTTCACAGAGGAGGACATACAGTCAATCAACAAGTACATGAAAAAATGCTCAACATCTCTAGCTGTCAGAGAAATGCAAATCAAAACCACCCTAAGATAGCATCTCACTCCAGTAAGATTGGCAGCCATTAGGAAGTCAAACAACAACAAGTGCTGGAGATGATGTGGGGATAAGGGTACACTTGTGCATTGCTGGTGGGACTGCAAATAGGTGCAGCCAATTTGGAAAGCAGTATGGAGATTTCTTGGAAAGCTGGGAATGGAGCCACCATTTGACCCAGCTATTCCCCTTCTGGGTCTATTCCCTAAAGACCTAAAAAGAGCATGCTACAGGGACACTGCTACATCAATGTTCATAGCAGCACAATTCACAATAGCTAGACTGTGGAACCAACCTAGATGCCCTTCAATAGACGAATGGATAAAAAAAATGTGGCATTTATACACAATGGAGTATTACTCTGCATTAAAAAATGACAAAATCATAGAATTTGCAGGGAAATGGATGGCATTAGAGCAGATTATCCTAAGTGAAGCTAGCCAATCCCTAAAAAACAAATGCCAAATGTCTTCTTTGATATAAGGAGAGTAACTAAGAACAGAGTAGGGACGAAGAGCAGGAGAAGAACATTAACATTAAACAAGGATGAGAGGTGGGAGGGAAAGGGAGAGAGAAAGGAAATTGCATGGAAATGGAAGGAGACCCTCAGGGTTATACAAAAGTACATACAAGAGGAAGTGAGGGGAAAGGGAAAAATAATACAAGGGGGAGAAATGAATGACAGTAGAGGGGGTAGAGAGAGAAGAGGGGAGGGGAGGGGAGGGGAGGGGGGATAGTAGAGGATAGGAAAGGCAGCAGAACACAACAGACACTAGT